CGATCTCTTGACCTCGTGATCCACCCGTCTCAGCCTCCCAATGTGCTGGGACTACAAGCGTGGGCCACCGCGCCCAGCCTGCAATCTACTTTTTAGAAATGTTCATAGAGGGTATACTCAGATGGCACTAATCACTTGAGATTAGACAGTTTCTGCAGGGATAATTGAATAGGCAAGTTAATAAAATAAATATTTAAAATGCCTTGGTTGATTAATGTGTTGGAGGGTAAGTGATTTACTTGTACATATTCATTATTTCTGCAAAATAACTCTATGAAATGGTATTATTATCACTTCCATTTATAGATGATGCCCCTGAAACAAAGATGTGGGTAACTTGCCCCGGGCCAATTAGCAATAAGCCCAGATTTGAACCCAAGCAGTCTTGCTCCAGACCTTCTGTTTTTAACCATTCTACATTGCAGTTTCTCTAAGTAAATAGTCACCTAAAATATGGTTACAACAATACAGTCACACCAAGAATATAGTTAGAGATAAGACTGCATCATTGTGTTTGTGCATGTGGAGACTGCAGCTGCTTCTATAGGAGATCAGCACCAAGCTATCATCTGTCGGAAAGAAATGTGTTGTGAGTAAAAGGAGGAGGAAAGCTGTTCTGTAAATATGAGACAAGCTGAAACAAATATAGAAATATGAAAAGAAAAAACTAATTTTCAAAAGGGAAGTTTTTAGCCTGTGCTTTAATAGAAGATAGGAATAGACTGTGGCATGCGCTTGGAAGCTGTGACAGTTTGGTCCTGAGAGCTCTGTGGCTTGGGAGGGTTTGGAGCCATATCTCAGGGGTAAAAAGGAACCGTTCGAAAGGGCAATTTTAGAAAATGACTTTGATAAGCTTCATTAGTAGATACAGAGTTGGAATCAACAGATTAATATAGGCTTCAATTGTAAGTTTCTATGAATGTAAGAAACATCTAGAAATTAGCAGGAAAAAATCTGACCAGTTGGGATGGTATTTCTCCTTTAGTGCCAAAAGTATAACAGTTTTTTTTTTTCTCTTGTGGCAGTAAAATTAAGGGCCTGGATTTATTCAGCAACTTTTCTTCGTGAGAATACGAATATATTCCCAGACATTATTCTACACTTTTCCTGCGTGGTGTTCTACCACCAATGTGAAGTTATATATTTAGACCTCTGTGTTTGGGTGGGAAGAGAGTAGGCCCACTGGCAGGCAGTAACCACAGAGCTACATGTACCTGGGCCAGTTTTATTCCAGACATGTGGATCTTCTGGTCTGCAGCCTTGACAAACTTCCGAGTTCCCTTGTCTCCTTGTACAGATGTGTGTACCTTTTGATCATGAAGGCACTGTTAATGTCCTTCAGAGTTTGTGGCAATTTGTAACTTTGAAGGATCATCCAGATTATCAAATAATTTACATATGATGATTATTAAATTGAAGTTTCTAATTTATTCTTAACAAAAAATAAAAATTACGTTCACATTAAAAGCAGATAAATCAATACTACCCACCTTTCCTGTTTCCCAGATGCAAACAAAGATAAGTGGAAGTCAAATATCAATATACAGGTGCTTTCAAAAAAGTCTTTTGGTCTGTTTCCACTTTCAAGGTAACCTGGTGGCTTCTTCTCTCAAGTCCTCACACAGGTATTCAGGAATACCAGGATGGCGTGCCCAAGATTCCAACAGCCTGTATTACAGTGGAAGATGCAGAAATGATGTCAAGAATGGCTTCTCGTGGGATCAAAATTGTCATTCAGCTGAAGATGGGGGCAAAGACCTATCCAGATACTGATTCCTTCAACACTGTAGCAGAGATCACTGGGAGCAAATATCCAGAACAGGTGAGTGAAGGAGAAGGCTGGCCTAAGAATACAGTTTCCTCTTCTAGTTTGAGTTATTAGAGATAGTTTGGGAAAGAGAGAACATGAAACCACCTAGATGGTCCTCATATATTCATCGAAGGCAGAAGCTTTATATATATTTTTTCTCATCAAAATTTTAGCATGTTTACCATCTCATACCAGTCAGAATGGGTATTACTAAAAAGTCAAAGAATAATAGGTGTTGGTGAGGTTGTGGAGAAAGAGGAATACTTATATGTTGTTGGAGGGACTATAAATTACTTCAACGCCTGTGGAAAGCAGTTTGGAGATTTCTCAAATAAGTGAAAATAGAATTAGCATTTGACCCAGCCATCTCACTACTGTGTGTGTAACCAAAGGAAAGTAAATTGTTCTACTAAGATGATACCTGCACTCACATGTTTATTGCAGCACTATTCACAATAGCAAAGACATGGAATCAACCTAGGTGCCCACCAATGGTGGGCTGGATAAAAAATGTATATATGGTCTTATATATACCATGGAATACTACCCAGCCATAGAAAAGAATGAAATCAGGTCCTTTGCAGCAAGATGGGCACAATTGAAGGCCATTATCCCAAGTGAATTAACAAAGAAACAAAAACAAAAAGCATGTTCTCACAAGTGGGAGCTAATCATTGGGTACACATGTACATAAAGATTGGAAGAATAGGCTGGGCACGGTGGCTCACGCCTGTAATCCCAGCACTATGGGAGGCCGAGGTGGGCGGATCACGAGGTTAGGAGATCGAGACCATCTGGGCTAACACAGTGAAACCCCGTCTCTAATAAAAATATAAAAAATTAGCCGGGCATGGTGGTGAGCGCCTGTAGTCTCAGCTACTTGGCAGGCTGAGGCAGGAGAATGGTGTGAACCCGGGAGGCAGAGCATTCAGTGAGCCGGCACCACTGCACTCCAACCTGGGAGACAGAGCGAGACTCTGTCTCAAAAAAAAAAAAAAAGAAAAAACAGATCGGAAGAATAGGCAATGGGGGCTCCAAAATGGGGGAGGGAGAGAGGGAAGCAAAATTAAAAAAAACTACCTGTTGGATACTACATTACTCTTTGGGTGACAGGTTCAATTGAAACCAAAACCTTAGCCTCACACCATATGTCCATATACCCCCTGAATCTAAAGGTTAAGTAATAAAAAATAAAAGTTTTACCACATTGACTGAAGAAGGGCAGGAGTAATTGCAGGACAGAATGGTATTTGTGGTGTGCAAGTTCAACCTCAGAACAGTTGAGAGTGGTATTTGTCCATATGTGTTGTATTTATTCCATTTGAAGCTAGCCTGGCATTTGAGATAAAACCAATAGTTAATACTTATTGTGCCTATTGTGTTAATTATGTTATTTAATCCTTTCAAAGCTTAGTGAATTTGGATATATTTTCTGTATTAGTCCATTCTCACATTGCTATAAAGAAATACCTAAGACTGGATAATTTATAAGAAAAGAGGTTTAATTGGTTCACAGTTCTGCAGGCTGTACAGGAAGCATGGTGGCATCTGCTTCTAGGAAGGCTTCAGGGAGCTTTCAGTCATGGCAGAAGGCAAAGAGGGGAGTGAGGTGTCTTACATGGCAGGAGCAGGAGCAAAGGGGAGGGGAGATGCCACACACTTTTAAACCACCAGATCTCATGAGAACTTACTAAACAAGAACAGCACCAAGGGGATGGTGCTAAATCATTCATGAGAAACAGCCCATATAATGCAATCATCTCACCAGGCCTCACCTCTAACATTCGGAATTAAAATTCTACCTGAGATTTGGGCAGGGACACAGATCTAAATCATGAAATTTCTTCATTTTATAAGTAAGAAAACAAACCTAGAAGGAAACTCAGTTACCCAAGGTCCACACAGCTAGTAGGCAGCTAAGAAGGAATTCAAACCCAGGATCTTGTGAATATTAAACCAAGCTTTAAACCAGTTTATATGCAGTTTTCAGAGTTTATGAATTTATCTGCAAATAATGGGATCATATGCAAGTAATTAACAGAATTATTGTGAGGACTAGATTAGGTAAGTCACATCAAATAGCTTTGTTGAGTGTTTGGCACATCATAGAAATGGAGTGTTTGGCACATCACAGCTCACTGAATGTAAGTTTCCTTCATATGGCATCAAGTGTGCAATAAACACTTTTTATAAGGTTTCTGGTGCAAATCTCATACATTAGTTATTGAAATTCTAAAAATGGAACTTAGAAATGTTATTTAGAAATTTCAGACTTGTATTTTGTTTGACAGCATCAGTGGGATGAAGGAAAGGGTGAAGAGTGATGGCATTTGGTGATGGAGAAACAAGTCTTCTGCATATGACTTCTCCCAGACTAAGGACTGGGAAACTCAGGACTCAGGACTTCTCCCAGATTTGAGGGCTATATTGCAGTAAAGATTCATTTTAAGCTCAGGACTCCTTTCCCTCTTCCAAAATCATCTGCTTCAGGGACCTGGGCATCAACCATGGTTTTTGCCACAGGGATGATGGAAAACAAGAACTCAGTAGAATCACAGGGAGTCAGACAGCTGTAGAGAAACTGTGGTTTCAAACAGACAAGCCCAGCCTCTCGTGCCTTTAGGAAACTCATAACAACAGAAGAGCCAAGAGTCTATATTTCAGATGCTAAATAGTCAGATGCCTTAAAGTGTAATCCTTTTCAGGTATTTTCCCCAGTCAATAGTTCTAGGATAAAGTTTTGTCATCATCAGGTAGCTAGCCTAGGGCTTGAAGGGTTTAGGATTATTATATTATTGCTGTCTGGGTGAGCAGGCTGGGTGACCTGGCCTGAGGTTGTAGGCAGGTGGGTGGCAGGATGACAGTGAGTTATTGAGATCCTTAGTCCATAGCAGCTAGGGAGTCTCAGAATCTGAGGCCGAAATATTTAGGCAGAGGAATTCTTGAGAGCCAGAGGGCTAAGATATCTGACAGCTTCCCGAGGGCCATAAACATCTGGCTGGGAGAGCTTGGGCCTATTTGTCAGCTCAGCCTGGCTCATTCTTTTATTTTTTTAAAATTGGCTGAATTGAGGTATAACTTATATAAAATAAAACAACCAATCTAATGTACAATTTGATGAGTTTGGAAAATGTATAATGTAACTACTACCACAATTATAATATATAATATTTCCACCACCCAAAGTTTCCCTCAAGTTCCTTTGTAGTCCATCTCCGACTCTACCACCCTGCCCTGGCAGCCAGTGATCTCCTTTCTAGAGCTATAGTTGTTTTTGTCTTTGTTTTTTAATTTCATACGTAAGTGAAATAATACAATTTGTAGTTGTTTTCTGTCAGGCTTATTTCACTCAGCATAATGCTTTTGAGATTTATCCATGTTGTTGATTCAGTTGTTTCTTCCTTTATATCCCTGAGTAATATTTCATTGTACAGATATATGACAATTCGTTTATCCATTCAGCAATTGATGGACATGTGGGTGGTTTCTAGTTTTTTGATTATTGTGTATAAAGCTTTTGTGAACATTCTTGTACTAGTCTTTCCATGGACTTAATGTTTTCATTTCTTCTGAGTAAATATCTTGGAGTGGAATTGCTGGACTAGCCTAAATTTAGGAATTGCTGTACTGGCCTTCTATCTGTCAAGATGCTTCACTCTATGTTTTGTCGGGGTAGCACCTTCTCCCAGAAGGTAGATGGACAATTTCAGAGCAATCATGCGATTTAGGATGTTGCCTAGAATTCCAAGAGTTGATCATAAATACTTTCTTACCAATATGTAAAAGGTAGAAGTTTAACAAAAGTTCTTCCACAAAGAAGTAACAGCATTACTTCCACAGAAAAAAATGAAAATGAGCACAGTAAAGTCAAATCTGTGGTTGTGTTTTGTGGAGGGAATCTGCATTCTACCTGGCCTGGAACCACAGGGGACATACAGACTGTGAAGGCAAAGCAAAAAGCATGAAATCCCTCTTCAGGTATTAGGTTGGCTAATGAGCCTGAAAAAGAACTGCCTTATCCCCAGTAAATGCCACTTCTTCCATGAAGACTGCTTTGGTAACATTCCCCTCATCCCAGCACTTCATGCCACTGTTATGGTGTCATCTCCCAGCACAACTTGCAAATGCCCTGAGAGCAGGCACTCTGTTCACTTTATTTCCTTCCTTTTCCTTTTTCCCACCTCTAATGGCTATTTCAGGACTTGGCATGCAGTGGCTTCTCAATACATATTTTATTTTGGTAAAGTGAAGGAGTAAGCAAAGAAAAAAATAGTTGGAGGATGTTACTAATCTCGATCGTCTTTAAATCTAGAAGTTTTACTGACCTTTTAGAATACCGATTGTTCATTGGCACATTGAACCTCACCACTGAATGTAGCTCGACATGTCCGGATATGAACACACTGGTTCCCTCATAACCTGATTTTTTGTCTTAGTTTCTTGTTTCTATTAAATGAACCACATTTATCTATCAGCAAAGTTATAAAACTTCAAGTTATTTTTCATTCCCTCTCCTTTATCACTGTCCTATAGTCAGGTATCACATCCTATTCAGTCTATTTTCAGCATATTAAAAGAAAACTCTGTTCCTACCTTGCCTTTACTGCTACTACTGCCTTAATTCAGGCCCTCACTATTTCCCCCCTGATTGTTTTTCTTCTGGTCTTTTCCATACTTCTTTGCAATGAAGTTCAAAATTATTTTAAAACATTTGATCTCAACATGGTGATTCCCTGCTTTCAGGTCCCTCTCTCCTGTTTCTTATAAGATAAAGGTTGTGATGAAGATAAATGCTGAGGTGAGTGATCAGAGGTGAGCAGAAGACAGAGGAAAAAAGACAGAGAGGGGAGTCAGGGTTAGAAACGAGGCAGTTATAGTAAGAAGAAATTATATGGTGCTGTTCATAAATGAACAGAAAATGAGAATGAAGAAAGGCGAAAAGGAAATGTATGATGGTGAAAGGCAATGTCTGGTGGAGATCAAGGTCAACTGAGAACTGATCTTTCATAGGC